CCCCCCCCCCGCCTCCAACAAAAAAAAAAAGGCCCCTGCCCTGAGGTGCCGTCTGGGAGCCGTTCGATTCGCTGCATCTGGAACCTCCACCGCTGCCGAGGCGGAGAGTCGCGCTTTCTCCAGGCGCACCAGGAGCGCCACGGAGCGCGAGTTCAGGTTGCTCAGGAAGCCGGGCTGGGCCTCAGGACAAAAGCTCCCTCTCTCCCTCTCATCAAAACCGACTCCGCGGTCCCCTAGAAGGGGCCCCTACAGGACCGGCAAGTAAGGCTCTGCCTTGAGGAACTTCAGCAGCAGGGGTCGGCTGGCCAGGAACTCCGCGATGCGCGGATGCAGCTGCTGCAGCTCGGGGCTCGGCGAGCCGCCGCCGCTCGGCGTCTCGGCGACCAGCAGGCAGGCCCCCCCTTTTGGGGGTGGTTTGGAGGCTGGGACCGAGAAGAGACCTGTCCAGGGACGTCTCCCAAGCTCGAAGTCCAATTTCAACCCCCCCCCCCCCCATCGCAAAGCAAACCCCGCTGTGCCCAGCTCTTCTAGGCTGCAATTATAGGCCCTTTTCACAGGACAATTACAAGTCCCTTTGCCTTCAGACTGCCATCGTGCCAGGAGCTCCTTGGAGTCTTCGTTTTCCCCTTCGCTACCAAGGGCTTCCAGGGAATCTCGTAGCTTCGCCTTCTTCAGGTCCGCTCCTGTCACCGGAAAGCCATCCTTCAGCAAGGCGAGGATATCTTTCCGTAGCGGCGGATGTCTTCGAATCCACTTCTCCAAGATCTCTAGACCTCCATCGTAGACAAACTGGAGCTTGCAGCTCTGTGGAGCCGCGTGGAGCTTGCTGAGCAGCTGGCTCTTCGTCCCCGGCAACGCCGCTCGCATCTCCTGTCGGAGCAGTTCCCCCCGTTTTCCCCATGCCCCTTTTTGGAGCCTTTGTTGGGGGGGGCGCCTCCAGGAGCTTCTGAGCATTCGGGGCGGAGAGGGGCGCCATCAACGAAAGCGCCGGAGGCCCCTCCAAAGCCCCCGCCGCTTTCTTGGCCAAGTGCCGCTCGTGGAAGCCGCAGAGAAACTTCCCCGACGCCAGCTTCCGCCGGTTCTTGCGGCCCGAGGCATCCCCCGCCCGGCAGCGCGGGGCATGGGCGACCATGGCTTCACTGCTTCAGGGGTGTTTGGGTCAGGAGGAGCGGTGTGGGTAGGGTGGAGCTTGCGTCTGAAAGGGATTTCTTACTTTGAATGGGTCTCATTACCATAATCTTCGCCTCGAGGCAATGATGTGCAAAAGTTTGAGGAAGAAGCAGGACCCCTCCCTAGAGCATGGCTCCCTCCAGAAAAGGCCGGGGCGACCGTCGTCGTGCATGCCCATGTCCGCCAAGTAGACCTTGCACAACCCACTTGAAGATCAGGGAAGACGGGAGAGAAAGAGGGAGAGAGGGAGAGGGAGAGGGAGCTTGTGTGTCTACTGTCTGAGCCCAGCCACGAGCACGGCGTAATCTGAAGAGAAGGCCATGGAGCAGTTCTCCAAGTCCACCCTGGGATGAAAAACAGAATCCGCAGAAACGGTTGAATTGTGGCGGGCCCGTGCTGTGTCACGTTGTCGTCGACGTCCATGGCCGCGATCATGCAGTCGGGCCCACCAAGGGCTGCAGTCCCAGACCTCAGGCGCTCCCGCCGCCCCCCCTCCCCCCCTTGTTTCATTAAGCGCAGCAAGCGCAGCTGGGGCATCTCTTCAAATTTGCTGAGAGAAAAGCATCACTGAGCTGGCGGTGGCCGAACCTTAGAGATAGAGAGAGCCTCCTTTATTTGCTTTTGGGATTGCCAAGGTGCAATTTTACGGGGGGCCCCGGCTCACTGCACTGGCCGGCACCACGACCGCCCAGGCTTTGCCCATCGGGTTGGCCCCCGCAAACTGCACTGTGACCTCTCAGTGCGGTCTAAGAGAACATCCCAGACTGGGCTGTGCTTATACGGACTGGGGACAAAGGTACAAAATGCAGCTTGCCTCCTCCCCTGTAACGTTCCCATCGATCATGGGCAGATACTTGAAGCTGTTCGAGACGCCTCGGCCAAGGGGCTATGTCATCGCTTGGACTTCGTTCTCAGGAAATTCCGGTGCCTGGTGGGGTGTAAATCTTAGTGAACACCATCGTGCCATCGGATCGGTTGTCCAAGTCCTGCACCGCACCCGCAACTAAGTCTCCTTGCCAGTCGGCATCTCTCCCGCCTCCACGTAGACCACCAGCTCGTAGGTCGAGCCGTGTCGTAGTTGACAGTCTTCCAGCACGGCAGAGACCTCCACAAACAAAGAGCCCGGGCACGCCCAGAGCCACGGCATGGTTTGATCCCTGGCCCTCACCTCGGTGAGCGACACCACCGCCGTGCCTCCCACCATGCTCTCACCATCGATGCGGCAGCCGGGACCTACCACGACAAAGAGGCTTCCTCCGGGCCCTCCCGGGCCGGGGCCCCCGGGCCTCCCATGGCCAGGCTTCCCATCATGGACTTCAGGCTCCAGCGCGTCACCTGTGGGGCCTGGAGCTCCGGGACCACCTGCCACGACTCCACATGACATTAGGGAAGCTATCTGACAAAAGAGTAACCTAAACACGAGGCCGGCAAGACCATGGCCCAGACGTTTCCTGTGCATCTTCAAGTTGAACTCTCTCCCGCCCTTCGTTGATCTGCACAGTCGTGCATGCGCTGCCTGCGACCACTGCGGCAGCACCTTGATCCGTCGCCTGAGGGAGTCCGAGATCGCTTGCCGAAGGGGCCCCCTCAGATGCCGGTGTTCCCATGCCAGGCCTCCGTGGTGAATTTGAAGGCCACACGGCTGGTCAAGACAGACTCCGCCTGGCAAAACAAGCGTGTAACGCGTTCGTTCGCGTTTTCCAAGGAGAAAGGGGCGCCAGGAAGGGCTCGGTCTTGAATCGCATGGAGACCACGGGCACCTACGGCGTGCATCTTTGCAAGTTGAAGCATCAGCGTGCTTCTTGGGGCTCAAGCCAAAACCAAGACTGGCTGCGAAGCTTGTCCATCCGTCTGAGAACAGTGGGTCGCGAAGTGGAGAGGCAACCGCAAGGACTGGCTTGATCTGAGTGCTAGGCATAGGATGAGTTAAGGCCCTCCACGTAGGCGAAAGCCTGCGCCGGGGCTTTCGATCACGGCTGATCACGGGCCACATATTGACTGGTCTGCGAGGCGTGGCGGCCCAGCCTTGTAGGTCACCCCACGCTGCAGCGCGCACTGCGAAAGAGCGATCGTCTCGACCCCACTACCTCAAACAAGTGAGGGATGCCCACCTCACCGAGATTCAAAAATATTATGATGATTTTACAGCAAAATATATAACATGTGATATAATCTGTCATTTTTTACATATATATATATATATAGATTATAAATATACTATACATTCTAAACCGCTCGATACCGTGCGGACACTCACTGAGCAGCATGGCAGTCGCACAACTTTTCTTCCGCGACCACAACATGGGGTGGGCTGCAAACAGAGTGTTTCATTATGTGTCCGATCGCCCGCACACCGATCCCGCTTGCCGATCGGGGCATCCGGGTGTAAAAAAATCAAACACCACGGCATCCGCATCGAACCACCAACACACTCCCAGGCCCGACACCTTGAGAATGCACCCATCCACAACGTAGCCCCTTGGTTAGCATTGCGACATATGATCGATGCACCGCCATTTGAGCACCAAGCCCCAGAAACTCTACGAGCTCGCATACGTCTTTTTTGGCCGAACAGCCGAACAGCTCTTGATCAAGGCTGCTTCGACCGGCTCGGAATCGACAAGTACCATAACACAAAATCAGTGGATAGCGACCGTGACTCTTATCAATTTGGAGTCGCAGACTCGCAGACTCGCGCTGCGCAACAGGATTTTTTCTTTGGAGTCCGCGGCTATGGTGTGCATCAACAGCGCGCTACCCGCTACCCTGGCCAACCGTGAGTGCGCGAGGGAAGTCCCCCGCCCTTTTCCAACCGATGAACACGGCGATGACTCAATGACGATGCACGGTCGGAACCAGCCCTCGTCCGCCCATCGGATCAGCACCACATCGAAGAACTGTTGCTGAACCCATAAGTCTGAGACTTAACATCCACATAGGTGGCCGAGGCCTCTCTCATCGTCGATGTTTTCCGAACAACCGCAACAGAGCTGAAGCTAGGCCTGAGCCTTGCAGAATCCTTGCCAACGTCGGCAAAAGTTTAGTTCATAGCATATAATGTATAGCATACAATGTATCATCTGAATATAGGAAATATAGTGTAAAACTATGATCTTTACTACTTCGTATTTTATATTTAATATTTACAATGAACAACATACTTGAAAGAATATGATAAGAAGAGCATATAGCAGGACATGATACAAAACAATACAACAGAACACGATGTAACATCAGATAAGACAATAGACACATATGCTGCCAGAATATACAATAGCTAGCCTAAATCAACGTGGTAGAAATCAAATACAACCCAATATGAGATCAAAATTAGGATATAATGCGATAAGACATATACCATAGAATTGAAGAGAAGACAAGAAACTATGTACAGATAGATAGATAGATAGATAGGTAGGTAGGTTGGTAGGTAGATAGATAACCCTTTCTATATATACATATATACATATACATATACACACATATATATATACATGAATGTATAGGTAATGAGACATGTAATTAATTGATGGGCTTGGTTCGTCTCCGAGCCAAGGGCTGATGACCTCGCCCTGGAGGTGGCACAGCGCGCTGCCCAACGAGTAGGTGCCCACCTCCCAAAAGCAGCGCTTCTTGTCATACATACACACAGACATAGGATATGATATCTGACATATGACACACGACAGATGGTGTATGATGTATGACGTATGATGTACGATACCTGACATATGATGGCGAATGATATATGACAGAAGCTATAGAGATATAGAGAGAGAGAGAGAGAGATGCGTGTGTGTGTGTGTGTTCTGATGTCTCTTGTTCCGTTGGGCGACTTGAGCGTCAAGCGGATCTGGTGCTCGACAGCGGGCAGGGTCGCCAGTCTTCCACTTCTGCGCTATGCCGCTATGCTGAATGAAGCATAGCTTCACTGACTCACGCCCGGGTGGAAGACCGGAGACACGCGTCCAGCCAACATTAAAGGCACCTTTGGGTGAGGCCTAAGCCGAAACGTTTGCTCGCGGCTCTCAAACCACGTGCAGAAGGGCGCGTGCAGCCAGAGCCTCCCGATGCCAATGGGGCTGTAGACTTCGGCGATCAGGCTCCGATGAATGCAACCGAGGCGCTGCACCGCCTCCCCGCTATCTGCCACCCTTCTCCCCTCGGTACATCGAACATGAGTGGAGACTGGGCGACACAAGGTCGGAACCCGAGCGCCAGACCCTCCGGGCCCTGACCCCGATCGCCCCGGTCGCGTTCACGGCCGCCCCGATCTCCCCGATCTCCACCACGATCCTCCCAAAAGACGGGAGAGACGAAAAGCGAAGACTTCACGGCGTTGCAGCCCAGGCACTCGAGGCTCCCGGTGTCCGTGGCCGCCCCCGCCGTGGCCATGGCCTCCACGGCCTCGACTCCTTCAATCCAGTGCCGGAACCGAATTTGAAGCTCCAAAAGTGCACAGCAGCCGTGGGGCCCTCCTGCTCCTGCGGCCGGCCCCACCTCGGCCAGGACTCCGCCGCTCCCGACTCCTTCAAACAAAACCGAGAAGACAAAAGAAGAGAAAGCAGCGGGCGGAGAGCTCTAAGAGCTCTCTCCGTCTCTCCGTCTCTCTTCTCTCTCTTCCGACGTACAAGGCGCTCCTGGAAGCCCGGTTGCTGCGTGGCTGGAAGCCCCGGTCTCGCTCACGCTCGCGGCTCCGCGAGGTGCGGTTCCGACTCTTCTCGGTTTCCTCCAAAATTCGAGTTAAGGGTTTAAGGCTCCGGGGTGGGGAGGTGGGCTTCCACAGCGCCCCGTGCACCTTCTTGTGTAGATAGGAGCCGATGGCTGGAGTTTTTGTGCAGGGCTGGATGTCCTTGTGTGTCCGGGCTCTGACAGAAACCGTCCATCCGCCTCCATGGAGATCCGCTCAAACCCAAGAGCCGGACAGCACCGTTTTTAATGTCTTTGAGCATGATCATGACCTAATGAACAGGCTGTCAGCTCTCTTCAGCTCCGGCCTCTTTTGGTGATCTGAGCTCCGGTCTAAAGATGACGGCTTGTTCGAGGCCGCCAAATGCTCGCCTTCAAAACTCAGCGAAGCGAAGTCACCAGTACCCCACCCCAACACGAGGAAGACTCGGAGCCAACAGCCCCTTTAAACCGCGAAAGCTGCTATAAACACCCCCAAAAATCCCCGAATGAACCACTGAACCCGAAAGAAGAAATGAAGCCTAAATTGCCACAAGGAGCAGATCTTGTCCAGGGCTTCGTCCGGGTCTTCCCGGCTCTCTAAGGCCTCCGCCCAAGAACTGCCACTTCTCTCCGGGGGTTCAAGCATGTTCGTGGCTTCTTCTTTTTTGTTTTTTTTTGGGGGGGGCTTGCAAGCATTCTACATCTTCATTACGGCCTTTCGGTGGCTCAAGCTTCTTGCGGGTCTCTGGGGTTTGTGAGGCGTCACCTCGGCAAGCTTGCACGCCGAGGGCGCGTCGAGCTTGTACTTCTTGGAAGCCTCTCGTATCCGCACCGGAGCACGGCCGTCAAAGCGAGCGACGACTCCTGCGCCCGGCGCCTTCTCGACTTTGGGATTCGGAGTGAGGCAGCCACGGAAGACGCCTCTTCTATCGGAACGGCGGCCCCCATGCACAAGGCTCCAGCCTGCTGCCTGCCTTGCTCCATCCATCGGATGCTAACCTGGGGCTCTGGGCTGGGTTGAGGCACAGAACAGCAACGGCACGCAGAGCGCGACGACGCTCCGCCCGGGCCACGCGTGCTTGGAGTTCTCCTTCTGCGACAATCCGGCCGGGCGGCCATGAGAAGGTCCGCCGGGTTCTTGGCACCCTTCAGGATCTCGTACAAGGAGGCGATGTCCTCCCAAAGAGCGGAGAACGGCGTGCTCAGCCAGCTCTTCTCTCCTATTAAGCCCCCCTAAGCCCCAGAGAGTCTCCTCCTCGTAGGTGTTGTTGCGGCGCTTCAGCTGTTCGTTCAGCATCCGCGCGTGCCTGGTCAAGTCACGGCTGCGATGTGGAAGCAGCCGAAAGCTCGTTTTCCAGCCTATCACCGATCTTGAAGTAGTGCACAAGCTCTATGACTTCCGGCTCAAGAGCAGTTGATGCAGCCTGGGGCAGTCGGAGCAAAACAGCTCGAGAGAGAGAGAGAGAGAGAGAGAGAGAGATTGTGACGCAGCTGGCCTTTGTTGCATCGTACTCCATCGCCTGCTGCTGTGTGAGGCTCGGCGGGCCCGGAATGGCTGCTGGCATTGGCGGCATGCCCGGCGGCTGCATGCCCGGCTGGATGCCCGGAGGCAGCACCACCGGCGGCATGCCGGGGCCCAAGCCTCCCAACGTCGAAAATCTCGCGACGAGCCCCCCAGCTTTTGGCCTAAGGCCCCTCTCTCAGCCGAGCCTGGGAGGCTCATGCCCGGTCTCATGGCGAGGGCACCTCGTCTTTGCGGGGCTCTCCGCGCGCGCGCACGCGCGAGATCGCCCCCCCCCCAAAGGCCTGCAACTCCGGGAGGGATGTTGATCATCGAATTCGCCTCAGCTTCCGTCGCTGGAGCGCGCGATTAACCTCGACCACCTGGTGCCGGAGTTCCTCCCTGCCTGCTAAAGTCTAGAACGACGGAAGCGCGCAGTGCCTCAACTTTGCGGGCTTCGCAGATTCGACCGGGAGGTCCGCGGGCCCTTTCCATCGCCAGCACGAATCTAACTTATCAGACGCATCGAGAACGAGAAGGTCCGAGTCCTGGAGGCCGAGGCGACAGAGCTACGAATTTTTGACCGGGTCGCCCCCGAGATCGCCGGCGGCGGTGGCACGCTCCTCGGCATCATCCCTTCAGTTCTCCCGCTTTTCTTCAAAAAACCACACAGAAAGTCTGCACATTTCGACCTGCGGCCGCGGGGTGGCGCTGTGCCGGCCAAGCGTCCCAACGCCTATTCGAGGAGGCACCGTCTGGAAAGACGGCGTAGGCCCACTCCTCGAAGCACAGAGAGGAAGTCGCAGATCGAGCGCTGCGGGAAGGTCATCTTATGATACGGCCGTACTTCCATGAAGGCACTCTGAATGATTAAGGAAGAGCAAGGGACGAGTTATAGGCCTCCGGAACCCCTACCCCTGCAGCCGGCTGTCGCTTTGGACTCCGGCACAATGGCCTTGTTGTTTCCTCCGGCTCCTGCGAGCCAGAGGAGCATTGGTTTAGAGCATGTCTGCATGATTGAAGGGTCTCAGTCCCGGCAAGGGCGGTGCAGACCCATGCTTGCTCTCCAGCTCCTTCGTCGGCACAAGGCACTGGCAGATCATGAAAAAAGCTCAGAACTGCCTCGATCTTCTCCGAGATCTCGCCGGCGAGCATCATTTGAAACTCTGCACCACCTGAAACGCTGCGTCCCTGCATGAGGCGTTGGGCTGGGTACTTTCCGATGCCTTCATCTCCCTCTTGCTTCGCTTTCTCGGCGGCATCCTCGAAACGAGCAGGGAAGCATTCCATGTGCAGACATCGTGAGCATTTGTTTGCCTGAGTCTCGCATGCTTTCGCGCCTTTGTCTTGCAGCCCAGTTTCGAGCATCTTCTGCCTGTCCTCCCTCAGGTGGGACAGCTCGTCCCAGATTTCTGGGGTCATGGCGGCCATGGTGCCTGACACAAGCGGAACAAGAATGATCCAAAGCAGCCAAAAACTCAACAAACATCTCCGCCTGGTAGGCACCTCCTGGCACGCCAACCTTGGTTTACATGAGGATGCTCCATTTGTAAGAACATCGGTCGCCAAAACTGCACTCCGTTCTCTGCGGCCCAAAAGCCGCGGCGCCGCGTCCATGGGACCCCGGTGTTTAGCAGCAAAAACAGCTGCAGTGGGGGGGGGCGGCCGAACCGGGTCAGGTGCTTGCCCTAACGGCCCACATAAGCGCGCGAAGATCGAACGAAAGAAGCACAGAAGCACACGTAGTTGCACACACGAACGCAGCTGCATGGACAAAAAAAGGCCCGGATATCAGCACTGGTTGCACACAAAGAGGGCCTTGATGGCATTGGGGTCCACCCACTGCTCGTGGATGTTGGCGACCTGAGGTCCAAAAAAGACAGAATTCCCCTCCGCCCCGCCAAAAAAACAGACAGAGACCTCTGAAAGCTGAAAGGGTGCCCTGACCTAAGGTGCCCCCCCCGACCCGAGGTGGCGGCCACCATGGCCCAGACCTCAGGGAGCGAAAGGAGCGACCCAAAACAGACACCCGCGACACCGATGCCGGATACAGGATCCCGGGCCGCTCCCTCCGTCTCCGCCTGAAACCTCGGGGCGGCATGCGTATGCATGCGTGCGCGCGAGAGAGAGAGCGAGAGAGAGAGAGAGAGATCCTGCGAGCTCCTTCTCGGAGTGTTCTCTCCGGTCGCTGAGCCCTTCGCGTCAGCTGAAAGCCGTCGGGAGAAACCAAGCTGTTGGTCACGGTCGGCTGCATCAAGAAAGTGTTCGTGTGCGGCACCACGAACCTCAAAAATCACGGTCAAGCAATCTGGGTTCTTGTTAGGGGATTTAATTTTTAAGTTACCACAATAAGGAAACCTTATTCTTTACTATGGATTCCTACTATGGTAACTTAAATAAAAATCCCTAGTCACAAGAACCCAGGGGCAGTGGCCATGGCTTGAAGCTTTCTCTGGGCCCTCAATGAGCTTCCGAGGCCCTCGCTGCACCGCAGGTGCGATGACCCCATCATCCCCATTGTATGTCCCCTGCGCACCACGGGATGCTTCGGCCGGGGAGTTGTGAGTAGTTATACCTTATGTATGCTATTATAATCTATTGTAATAAACTCTTATAATCTAGTAACATCTGCTAGAATAAACTATAGTAAATTACTATAATCCATTATAATCTATAACAATTAAGCTACTATAATCTAACTACAATATGCCATTATACACATCGCTTTGTTTGGTGTGTTTGATGGTGTTTGGATTGCGGGATTTGAGGGGCGCGAGCACGAGATTGTGATGGCTGCGAAGACGTCAGCGGCAAAGGTCCGGTTACCAATCGGCAAGCACAAAACGCCATACCTCTGTGTGAGCTGCTCAGAGACCTTGACGCCAATGTGCGGGAAGAAAACTCTCTCCCAGGGGCTGGGCCCTCTTGGGGGGGCTTCAGGGAGTTGATGCTTGTTCGTGGTGTGGCGAAGCGCCAAATTGCCGGGCCTGCGCATGCACCAGTCTGGTCTAGGCCTCCAAGTCCCCCCTCCCCTAGCCATAGGTTCAACCCTTCGACCTGATGAGGCCATGAACAAGCACTCCCGGGAGTGCGGATAGCTGTTGTTGCAGTGCAACACCCTGTGTGACACCCTGCCCACGCCCACGCCGAAGAGCTGGGCTCATAACCTGCTGGTGCGACAAGAGCAGCTGGGAAGAAGCAAACACAAGTAGGGTAGCTCATTCCCTTGTCCCGTATATCCCATCTCATTGCCCAGCATGGCTCACACAAAAGCGGAGATTTTACGCGCACGAACGAGATCGTGTCTGGGCTTGGCACCAACAGCATAACAACTATGGCACTTACATATTTCTTGTGGAAGGCATGCTCAAGGCAAGCTGTGCTTGAACCTTAAAAACCTTAAAAACATTAACAACCCTAAAAACCCTCAAGAACCCGTAAACACTCTTAAAACCCCTTAAAAACTTTGAAAAACCCTCAAAAACCCTCAAGAACCCTTAAAAACCCTTAACACCCTTAAAAACATTTAAAACCATAAACCCTGAACCCGAAACCCGAAACCCTAAACCTTAAACTCCGGCCTAAGCGCCGCCGCCTTGTAAGCGGCGGCGGCCAAAGCCCTCGCTACTTTTGCGACTCGCTTCCATCCCGGGCTATATGCCTACCACGAACAGTACAAGTAGCACGTACGTGGCACCACAAGCGTGAACTTGTTCTCAATAGGGACAGTTGACCTGTCCCCGGGCGTACGCCAATAATGCTCTATTAAGGCAAATACCCTAAACCCTGCACACTTGATCCTGGCGCGCGCGGCGCGCTTTTTAGTCTATTTGTCCTTTTGGAAGGGCTTTGATGTTGTCGAAAACCACGAAAAATACGAGGGTTTTGCGTGTCAGGG